GTTCGTTTGACTGTTGACTGTTTTCCCCACTTTCATTTTCAGGGCGAGGCTCAAATTTCATCTTTGACTGTAGCGCTTTCGCTAAACATGTCGCGGGAAGGAGCCGATACCGGCCCTGCGTCTTCAGTTCAAGAACCGCAGCCTATGGACCGCAATGTCATCCCCGATGCTCTTTATCAGATCTTACATGAACAAGCAGAAAGACATGCAGAAGAATCTGATCGCAGTTCTTGCCTTTCAGACAATTCGGTAGAACCTGACCGTGCTTTTCGCCTTCATCTGGCTGAGTACATTGAGATCACCACCCCAGAAGTTCCCGAACTCAAAGAACGTGCTCAAAAGCTTGAAGATCAGCTGCCGTCCTGAGTGCAGCAATGGCCCGCCAGTGTTGAAAAAAGATCTTTCTATGCAACTTTTTTGCCAGCCCAGTGTCTCAGACTTTCACTGTTGACCGCAACCGTTTCTTCACGGAAGGAACATTCCACACCATGCCAAGCCGTAGCCACAGCCGCTCTCCCATTCCGGTGGCCTGGAAATGAACATGGAAGACCGATGGCCAAAACTGGTGGTGGGAATGGTGTGAACCCAGCCGCCAGTGGCTAGAGTCCAAAAGACGCCAGCAGCCACCGCAAGTGTCTTTGCCCACTGCTGACACACCGACTCCTAGTTCAAGAAAGAGAGCACGATCCAGAACTCCGCAAGCAGCGAGCTCCCCTGATTCTGGGGCAGTTAAATTCAGTTTGCAATGCAATCCCAAGAAAGCATGCCATCATGCATCAGAACCTTTCCACTCAATGGTTTTACTCGCACACTCAGTGGCTTTACTCGCACATCATGACATGAAGCAAAAGCGGCGACAGCCCCAGTAAGGGGCACGTGCGAATGAAAGCGCCTGAACATGGCGAGTTGCAGTCTTGATGAAATCAATTCCAATGTCATTTCAGCATGGGAGCAAGGGCTCCAGTGACAACCCTTGCCCAACGAAGCCAAGTCACTGGAGTGGATGCAGTGGCTGATCACCACTGTGTACCTGCCGTTTGTGACATAGTGCACTGTACTTGCCGTGAATTGTGTTTTGCAATGGCGTGCTGGCTGCACGGTTACCACAATCTGAAGATGACGGTCAGTTCGTCTTTGTCATGTGCTGCGGATCGCGAGTAGCTCAAGCTCATTGCATCAATTCGTGCCAAGCCTGTGTGTCTCTCCCTCTCTCTCTGTGTTTGTGTTTTTTCTGGTTTGGTGTATTTTCGTCAAGCCAACCCAGCAACCCTAAGAGTACATGAGCACAAAGCAATGAGATCCAGTGTCAGGGCCTAGGGTTTACTATTTTAGCAAATAGGAATCAAGGATTTCCAAGACCGGGAACTACATAGGAAAATGGGATCCTTTTTTGACTCATTCACTGAAGTATTCTGCTGTAGCTCTGGAAATGCTTGGGGGATTATGAAGGTGCGCGAGCAACACTCCATGTTCGCACTGTGGTTGATACTCTGCATGAATCCGGTGAGAACCGACGTTCTGGTCTATTGTTGATACAACACTGGACAAAAAAGCCTGACGAGGGCTGTTGTACTGAGACGCAGTGGCAGGGCCATGCATGGCGGTTCAAACCTGAGTGAGAGCGATCCATCGCGAGATGACATGTCAAGACGGAGAACTCTGCATGGGACACTGCTACAGCTGCTTTGCAGCAGCGCAGCTGACCCCAGAAGTAAGCAACACTCCGCCAAGCACAAGCCTCACCACAATGTAAAGGTTGATGTCCGATGACCCTGTCCGTGCGTAAGCCAAAAAACGATAGCCCACCTTGCAACTTGCCATATTGGAAAAGCAAACGACTCACGATATGTCAAAACCTCAACATGGAAAGCCCCAAAATATGTACGTGTACATAGAATCACTACTGGGTTCACGTCGTAAGAACAGACGGGACAGACGCTGGTGATCAGCCCAAAAATCCCGACCCGAAGCAAGCATGTAGCAGTGTAAGTATACGTTAATGCCGCAATATCCGCGACCTCACACGGCGATGCACACATCACCATCGCCACCGGGCGTGTTCTGCGCAACAGGCGTCACCACCAGAAAGAGTTAGGCCAGATCAGGGCTCGCCTGGAATCTGAGGAGGAAGCGGTCTTCGTGTTGTCCCTGTGGCACGGGCAGTGGCTCGAACCGCCAATGGGCTCGGCGACGGCGATCAATGGACCGGGCCGCGGCGCGACAGAGCACAACCGCGACTTTGCCGAGCAGTTCAGACTTCACAACGGTGCGGTCACGCTGGAGGGCGATGGCAGCGGCCAAAGAAATACGATAACTAATAGAAGCTCATCCTAGCTGAGTCCGCCGATTGAGGTTTGAATACGCCGCAGCCGCGGCGGCGCTGCTGGAGGTGGCGCCCCAATGTCGGGGGCCCAGATCATTGATGACAGCATATGACAGCCACGTCCAAAACCACCGGTTGGGGGCCGTGCTTTCGCGTGCCGTCGGGTAGCCGCTTCAAGAGCACACCCGGTCGGCATACATCAGCTGGGCGGCAGCCGACCTCGGGGGTGTACAGATCACCAAGCAAATGAGGGACTTCCAAAACAGGTCGTAGTCCCCCGAGGTCACAATAGTCGTGAATGAGGTTGCGGAGGGTGTGGTGCAACTCGACTGAGTCGCCACCGGCCTATTCTGCCCCATTAAGATTTCCTAAGCGCTACACCCTAAACCCGAAAACGTGTTTGCAGTTGGAAGCAGTGAGAGGTTCGGGGGCTCAGCTTTGCCAACGGTCTTTGCGTCAAACCCATTGTCGGGCCTGCATTCGTCAGTCGAGTCATCCTTTTCTGGCCGGCTCTCGCCTTCGGCGTCACTTCGGCACACTCAGAACTGACCGGAGTCCGTCTTCGGATTTCCTCCTCAATGGCCTTCATGTTCCGTCTTCAGGGGCATCTGTAGCTTCATCCAGCATTTCCGTCTTCGCCCCGACCCACCAAAGCAAAAACATCGGCCGACTCTCCCGTGTCTATGGAAGACCAGAAAGAAAGCCCTGTCCAAGATCACAGCCCTGACTGTCGAGACACTGCAGCAGTCCTGCGCCTGATTTTGCCATGGTCCGCGGCTCTCCTTTGGCTTTGAGGTTTCTCCCTTCTTGTTCTGCCGTGTTCTGTTCGGTCTTGAGGAATGGGGGGGTGATGCCCTGTCTGGTCTTCTTTTGCCCTTCCCGAAAGCGTTCATCACAAGCAGGGAAACAGGCCTGCCTGACTGCAAGCTTCTCGATGATCACGCCACGAATTCACCTCAGATGCTCTTTGCTGTTGCTCTTCCTTCCACATGTCGTCAAACACACACTTGTGTCAGCTTGCCTCCTGAATATGACCGTGAACACGCTGCCTTTGAGCGCTGGCAACACCAATCATCGACCTGACAGCCCAGGGATGACGAAGGCTTGTGCGAGCCCGCTTGGCAAGTGCCCGGCTCGACGTCCTCGACCACCTCGCAAAAAACTGTCAATCCGAGCTGGCATCCACCGAACCTATCTGGATCGCGCCACCACCACGACCCAGGCGACGTGCACGTGACAGCGCCCTACACTCCTCAACTCCACAAATGTACCCCCCGTTTTGCACCATGCCTGTTTCCTATGTTATGCATGTCGGAAATCCCAACCAGGGCGCTCTTTTTTGCATTTTGTGCTGGGCTTCGTCCTGCCCCCAGGCACTCCTCACCAAGGCTCCCTTGTGCGAAATCAGGCAAAGCCGTGGGTGAGGTGTTGTGGGGAGCAAGTCTTGTGTTTCAACAAGTGTTGGTCCTCCTCCCGCCAGGCGGCGACGCAACATCTTAAAGCCACTGAAAGTGGTTAGAATGCTCCAGAGATTCGCAGACGACATCTACATGCCCGGTCCGAATCGGAGCACATAGCAAGGGCTCGAGACATTAATTATAGCTTCCAACTTTCTCCAGTTCCTTCCAACTTCTCCTCTTCGATTACGACTTCACCAAGATTTTGATGACAGACACCAAACAGACTCACGACGCTTTGCACTGTACATCGCTGGATGAAGAACGTGATCGGACCTAGCACGTACGCTTGCAGGGGGATCCAACCTACGATGCAAAACCCAGCCAGTGAAAGGCAACGGAAAAAGACTGGAAGACCACACCAAGCCAACATCTCAAGACCACCCCAACACCAACCCAAAACTCCAGTGTCCCACACATAATCACATGGCTGACCTCTCCTCGTCGTCTGGATGTGACGCAAAACACAGAACGCTGTACTGCGAAAGAAGAGGCTGAACGACCGCTGTCGGGGAGCATAGCACACCTGCTCGGCTTTCGTTCGCCGCATGCCGATTCACAGGGGCCCCCTTTCATATCTGCCAGCAGCGACGTACGGGGCATCGGGCCTGGCATCAAGGCACCGCTCGTCGAAGAGGTCACGTCCCAAATAGCTTCACCGACGGCATGAAGTAACTGCAGCTGCGCTCGCCGGCGGTACCTTCACTCTGTTCCCCGGATGATGTAGTAGTTTCTTGCGCTGGCGTCGTCGAGCCGGAGCGCGATGCTGCAACCGCAAAGACATCTTGGATCGACGATGATCGACGCGTCGTCCGCACCGACATGAAAGCAGACAGAGATAGCTCCAAGGGCTTTTGAGGAAGCCCCCGGGAAGAACGAGCACGGACAAATGCATTGCGTGGGGTTCTGGAGGGTTCTTGAGTTTGATGGTTCGGTATGGTTCCGTGACCCAGCTGCTATGCTCTTGGACACACACTCTGGGAGTAGGCTCGAAGAAACAACAATGCAGGGGGGGGGCCTTTCCCGGGGGTCAGATTTGTATCTCGCTGGACGCAAAAGCTCGAGCATCGCCCGTCGCCAAGCGCCTCGCCGGTGGCGCGAGGCGGCGGGGCCCACGGGCGTGGACGTGCGGGTTCTCTCCGAGTTTAAGCCCTCTTGCGGGCTGCGGGCCCCGGCGAAAGAACTGCTGGTGCCAAGTGATGCACAGACCTTGAACAAACTTAGGCAGGTGCGTACTGCAATGCCTGGTGCCTTTGCTTCGAACTTCTCCGGCGCTGCCTCGATGCTGCAAGGCGACAGCAATCACTCACTCTTGGATGAGTGCAATGCCTTTCAACTTCTTCCACTGCTTCCTTTGCAGTCTTCCCGGAAACCTCAGACGAGAAAGGCTCGCCACCGCGTGCCGCAAGAGCTGACGAAGCCTTCTTTCTATCAGCTGCCACCGCTGGTGCAGGGGGGCCTTGAACAAAAGTATACTAGCCAGAACAGCCAGACCAAAGACATCAGATTTCGGTGCACCTTTAGAGGGTTGACTTTCCGCTCTGGCATGCCTTGGTTTGCCATTGGACATCTGCAAATCCACGACCGTCTGAAGCGAAGAGAGAGGAGCGAGAGCGAGAGCGAGAGCGAGAGCGGGCGACCACGGCCCAGGCGGTGGAAGACCAGGATGCGAGCGCTCCAAGACCTGTTGCGGATGTCAGGATCTGGTTGTTGACGGGATTGCGCGGGTAAGGGATAATCTGATCAGGAAAGCATGTTGGCGATTACCCCAACTAGCTTGACGGCTGCCTTCTCCAGTTGCATCCAGTATTGAAGATCCTGCTGGGACAGAAAGTCTAGCTTGAATTCCAGATCCCCGTCTCCACACAATGTCCATCCTCAAAGAACTGACAGGTGAGAGGATACCTGCAGCGATGCATCCATCGGTCAACCACGCCGTTCTCATGCAACGACGCCACTTCAGATGCCGACACGTGTGGCTCCAGGATGCCAGCCCTGAGGCAAAAACACCCCTGTGCTCAACCTTGTTTCTGACTGACAATCGATGCATCCAGTTTGCCAATGTCCACCCGTTCCAGCGATCTGCTCCTCAGGCGAGCCTCGACAATCAGTAGGACAGTCTATTTGATTTCTCTCGACTGTCAACTCAGGCAAGCCAAATTGAACAGTGCTATGGCTTTCAGACACAGCTTCCAACCGGAGGTGTTCAAGAAGCGTGGCATGGCAGCCAGAGACAAAGACCTAGGCTGCTTCTCCACACTGCCCTTTTGAATATCGTCTCTGCTCCTGATAGGACCGCTGCGAGCGATCGACAGCATCATCTTGCTTACCTTAGAACATCGCAGGACAATGCAGGCAGGGTGATTTGTGAGACACATACAACGCAAGTGTAAAATTACAAAGGCGCCAGCTGGAGCAGTTGATCGACGCCATCCAATCACGTGTGCTGGCAGAACAATCAATCGTAGCATATCATGCTAAACATCCAACTTTGATTAAGATGCAGACATGACTTGAAACATCGTGTAAAGTAATGCAAGGAGGAACTACTCGAGGGCACTCGTTGTCTCGCTATATCCTCCATGGGCAAGCGGCCCCAGAAACCTCTGTACAGCAAGTGTGCTCTGAAGGCTATCCTGCTGCACTGACATCTATATGATTGCCTGAATTCTTCCTTGGGAACCTCCACTCACCAAGTTTTTTGATGCCATGACAAACTTCTAGATTGGGAACCTCCCTGTTCGATGCGGGCCACAATCGTTCGTAAAGTTGCCCCTTTTGACGTGTAGCAGTCGCTCCCCAGTTGCCTGTGCACCAAACAAACTCTTGTGCACGGTGAAGAAATGAAGCAGCCAGTGTACCCAAAATGACCATGTCTAGCGACGATGTGATCTTCGTCTTCTGCTCATGGGATGAAGGTGTCTTTCCGACAGTGCTTCTCTCATGCCACGTCCCCTGACGTTCCACTGGAAATGCGCTTTTGCGGTTTGAAGTCTTGGAGAGAAGGGTTCTGATTCTTGGAGCTATGTACACGTCCACAAGAGCCGAGCCGGGTGTGCCTTTTGTCCAGCCTCAGATGGAAAAAAGCGGTCTGGCGACAAAACACGCTTCCACGCGTCTCTCCAAGCCGGGCGACTCGGAGTCGGCAGCAACGTCCTTCGGCCATGCGGCCAGGCCATGCAAAGCCCAAATTACCCAAGCGAGGGGCCGAGGCCGAGGCCTGCTCAAGGATCCGGCGCCTCTGGGCGCGGCACATGGAGAGGGTGTCCTGGCGCCAGGCCTTCCGGCAAGGAGCTCAAATGACATGCCTCTACATGTATCACGTGGGAGAGACTGCGTCTCACCTCAACGAAGTCATGATGCAGCTGCATGATCCTTCTGTCTAGGTCTGGCCTTTGCAGAAGGGACATTCCGGCATTGCTTGCATCGAACGACGTGCGGTCGACTGTCCAAACTGGGCGAGGGACTCCCAAAAGCACTCAGCAGGAGCATAGTACAACTCCTGAGCACCGTATCTGTAAATTTTCTCGAGAGCGACGAACACATTCGGTCAAGGGCACGACATCTGGAGAAACCCCCTGAAGATCTAGTGCACGAAGCCTTAGACTTGCAGCATTCATGATGTAGCACCATGGCATTAGCAGCAATCGGCAGACTGATGGCGTGCGAGCGTGGCGACAGGACATCGACCTTCTCATCGAAACCTGTGACAAAGTCCAGCAAGTAACGCAATGCTCCACTTCAGCCGCGATGCGGCACTGCGGGGCACTCACCATCGAACTCGTCGAGATTCGTCAGAGGAATTGCCTCCATGGGATCTACTCGCGCATTATGAGAGGGGAGACGTAGCTCGCCGACAGTGCTGGCTCGCTGCACCTCGGACACGACGGCCAGCGGCGGGCCCTCGTAAAGCAGCTCCTTCCTGCCAAAATCCAAACAGTAACAAGCCTTGAAGTGGACAGCAAAGATCTGGCTCGCCATGGCTCACCTGGTGCCGATCTTCTGCGCATCGTGCATCTTGACAGTGGCCTGGCATAAGGGAAAAAGCCTTCCATGTCACCTGTGTACTGCAAGCTGAGCTTGCAAAATTCCTCCGATGACGACAATTTCGGACCTTGTCGGGCTCGTACCTATACCACAAGTGAAAGACAGCGCATGCGGGCGAGCATAACATACGCCACCAGTGGCCCATCTGGCCAAAGAGCTCTGAAGTTCTGGAATGTGTGCAGTGCCGGATGTTTCGCTTCAAGGGAAGCTACCACATCCGCCGGGAGAGCTCCCAGTGTCGCTCGGAGGGTTGCCGTGCTGCGCGTTGATGCAGCTAGCCAAGAGTTAGCTGAAAAGGTAGACGGCAGATGGCTGACTTGCCGCCCGTTTGGAGATCCACGCAATGCTGGCATTTACAGGACTTTTGTGTCTAGCGCTTCGTTTTGGCGAGGCCCGGAGTAACAGAAACAACGTGTGCATGGTGGCAAAGAAGGACTCCACTACGAGTCCGTCGGGCCAGGAAAACGGCAGTTCCAGCAACAGACTCGGGCTTTGGACACGAAGCAAGCGAACAAAAAATCAAGCAAGATCAACATAAACACTTGCGGGGTCGGGGCGGCAGCTCAACTGACTGGCAAAAGCAACATCCAAAGCCATTATAAGAGGCATCGGCAAATGTGCCCAAAAAGAATGACGTAATGCGATGCTCCAAATGATCAATCAAACACCTCGCCGCACTGAGACCTTTCGTTGGTCTTGCATCATGCGACTAAGCCCTGCCAAATCTCCCCAACAGGATCGACCAAAAGCATGTCACACTGCAACAGCTGTCACGAGTTGAAAGCTTGCCAGATGGACACCATTCGGCATCTGCTTCAGAAATTGGCCATCCGCAGCGATCTCAGTCGCCGTGAGACTCGGATCCCTCTCTGAACCATCAGGAAAGCCCAACCTCAGGCCTGTCGTATAAGTCGGCCAGGACCTGAGCCAGGCCGCCAGGCTATCAAAACTGCAGCAAAGACCCATTTAACTCTGGGCTCTGGGCCTTCTTGATGTCAGACAGCGGTGAAGAGCGATCAACCGTAACCTGAACGGCCTGGACCAAGCTTGCCATGCAGATCCAAGACAAATTGCTGGACTTTAGGCGCCTCCGTATTTGTGGTTCCGATCCCTCGGATAGAAACCGTTGTCTCACCCTGCTCCTGCATGGCAGCTGTATCTAAAACATGCCACATCGTAAAGGTGGCAACAGAAACAGTAGAATGGCCTCCATCGTGACCTGTGCAGTCCGCAGAAAGCACACTTCTGTGACTACAGCATCCACGACACACTTGCCGAGTAAGCCCACGGCGAAATTGGCGGCCAAGAACAAAGAAAAAGACGATCTCCGAACGAAACAAACAATCTATGGACGAAAAGCGACAACACAACCGGGGTCGTCGCCGGAGACTGTTGATTACTCTTGTTCTGGGGATTGCCTTTTTTGGTGAGTGCGGTGAAGAACGAAGAGGGCAGGCCTTAGGCCGTTCCTCCTCTCGAGCCGATACGCCACACCGAACATAGCGCCACACCATCATGAGGAAGGACGAGTGGAGGCATACTTAGCGGCACCTTGTTGCTGCACAGTCCCGTGCATCTGACTTAACTTTCGCTAGGTTAAGCTGCTCTGCTTGCCGCTGCTAATTCATGCTGAGTAAACTGCTGGATCTTGGTCTGAATGAAGATTGGGGGTTTCAGGCTTTCGGGGCATAGGAACCAACTTAATTAATCAAACATCATGTGCAGTCTTGCGAACCTTTCCAAACTTTCGATCACATAGTAGGCGGTCTGCTAATCACGACCGAGGAACCGGTATGGGCAGCCAAGGACCAATTGAGGAGTCGTGGCGGACAACACAACTGGAAGGAGTTGAGAGCGGGTGGGACAAACCCTTTTTCTACCCTGCAAAGAGGTTGGGAGCATCAACAAAACGGGGAGGGCTAGCATGTACAACGCGAATCTCACAAGAAACTGCCGAAACAAGTCGAAACGAAAAACACTTCAGACTCAGATGCCACCTTTTCCATACCTCCAAGCGAAGTCGTCAGCTCCTTTTCATGGCCTGCGGGGATTTGGGAATGCCCATGGCAGCAAGTTGCTGCATCATGACGCTCCAGGCCTGCTTCCGGCGCGCATAAACGAGAACCGTCGTCAGCAAAACGAATGCAGAGATGCCAAGACAAAGCAGCGCCTTGCAAGCGATGTTCCGCGACACTCTGCTGACAGTAGACAACTGGGACAAAGAGGGATCAGACTGAGCAGGCTGCGACAGGTCTTCGCTGCTTGGCCTACAAAGGATGCTTGATGATGCTTGCAGAAGGCAGTTTTGCAGTTGTCACATGTCCTCTTCGACCAGCGACGTCGGCAGTTCGCCATGGGGTTCCATCTTTGCGAAAGCGGGATGCACGGAGCCTGGCAAAAAACGCTTCATGCGGCGCCTTGTGGGGCTAACTAAGCGGAACTTCCCACGAGCAGGCTAAGGCGGCGACCAGCTTTGAAGAGCGCCTCTCCACTGCAAGCACAGCATACGCTCTTCGTCGCATGAGGCCCTGCCTCAACTAGAGCCCTGGCTATGTGTGATCGTGGAGCAGGCTTTTGAGTCCAAATCCTCAGATCAGTGCCACGGAATGTGCCATCATCTGCTTCAGTTTCGCCCCGCGGGGAAGAGGCTCACATTGCGCACAGCCTTGCTCGAAAAGCATTTCGATGCCCTCAACAACCTGAACCAAGACCACAGTCAAAGCCCACCAACATGCGGACGCTGGTGACCACCTCACAGCCTGCACCGATAGCTTGGCGGAGGAAGGCTGTCCGTCGTGGGATATACGCCTGGGAACGCAACAATCTTGATGAGATATCAGATCCACATGCTTGCTTCAGCAAAGCGAAAACTTCACAGACTGCTTCAAGGCACAGCTGATGCGTGATCTGTCACACCATTTCACGGTTTGCAAATGCCATGTGAGGGAAATACGGCTTCCAGCACAACCGGTCTGCTCCTGAAAGTCAGAAGCTTGCATGTTGCTTGGAAGGGAGGCAGCAAAACCGTCCTCCGCAAGACGGCTGAATCTGGAAGAGTGAACTCGGTGCTCCCTGGCCTCAATTCAAACTTAGGCCATCACCGCTTCTTCAAACTTGGCACTGCTAACTGCTAAATCACATCACCCGCACAAGAGGCTCTGACAAGGTATTGACCACCACGTGCAACTCTGCTACGTGCTGCAGAGCAGCTAGATCTGCACAAGCCTGTGCAACACTTCACCAGTTCATCTAGCAACACCAAAAAACAGACATGATCAAACACGGCACCTCAAACCCGAACTCTGATGCCAGCTCTTGCGCTCTTAGGGCCTTGAAAGCAGCGAGCTTCAGGAGCTCCCTTGCATCATTACACATGGCCGACGCCATCGAGGGTCGTGCCGTCCTGTTGTAAATCAAGACCCTGGATGCCCCCATTTGCCTCAAGCGCTAACGTGGCACATGCGATTGAATATCCTATCGGTACATCAGACACCCGAGACATCGTCTTCATCGCGTAGGCGGCTGCCCTTGCAGTCCCGCCAGCTCCACAAAGCAGGCCTTCATGTCAAGCAGTTGGTGCTGCTGCCACGAAGATTAAGGCACCAGAACGTGAAAACAGACCATGACAGACCTGTTCTGCACATGGTGCGAAACTGGTCCGAGGTCTTTGCATGTCAAATTGGTCTTTGTCCGACCTCAGTGTGATGTTCCTTTCACGAACATGAAACTGGAACGCCGCACTACTGGCCTGGAAGGCGCGTTTCCAATTGGTTCTTGATGCCCAACCAGTCCTGATGTTGCCAATGAATGTCGCATGCACAGGCAACGACAACATTGACATCAGCTGAGGGGGTCTGCTGTATTGTCGCCTTTAAGCCGTTCGCCATATTTCGTCACCTTCGAGAAGCATGCTGCAGACACATCAGCTAAACAAGACGTCAAACAGAACGTGATGCTTTCATCTCTGATGCGGCTGGCTGTGTTGACAGCACCGATTGTGCGGGCGGCATCTGTCAAATCGTCCATGTAAGCCCTGATGGATTCCTTCGACAGGTTGCCGACCAGAAGCAAGACACCCTTCAATGAGAACATCACGGTTCAGTCAGCAAGGCGAGGCCTTGTGCGGTATAGTTACCTCGTCTCAGCACAGCAACCGAGCACCAATCAAGATTGAGGTGCTTTTGCTTTTTGCAGCAGAAAGGCTGAGCCGCCGCCACAAGAGGGCTTGCGCAATTCGGATACAACCTGGTGTTCTCGGACGTGGTTACCTTGGACGTCTCCAACTTTCACATCGGCCTCTTCGATGTCCTTGTTGTCAAACCTGTTGTATACGTGGGGACCTTCTGTCTGCCAGCTGGCAACAGATTTCCAATGAGGACCCCAAAAACGCAATTAGCATCTGACTTCCGTTCACTGTGAAACCAGTGCTGTGGATCGTAGGCGACGGCGACATTGACACTGGGTTGCCTGGCATTGAACAAGATCAAAATTGTCACCCCGGTCTTCCGCCCAAACATGACAGATCTCGCCGAAGATGAAGAATTGCAGCGATTGCTCGGTCATGGCAACTGTCCAACTGGGATGATTCTCTTGGTACGGCAAACTTGGCTAGCACGAAAAGACGAATCACACTGCTAAACGGTTTTCGATGTGCAGTAAAGCCCACATGTCTGCAAGTTGGCGGCGGCAATCGCTTAACAGCAATGATGCATCAGCCATCTCACACCTGTCTAAAGGGTACCCACAATTATTTGTTCAACCGTCATGTTTGCTGTGGCGCACACCGATCCAAAGCCGATCTTAATTTCCAAAAACAACAGCATATGGCACATGCAAAAACGGATTGTCGACTTTCGTCGTGATAACGGCATAAAACGCTGGCATGCAAAACAGCTTGCTGTGCAGGATGGGAAACAACAAAACGAATGTACTAGCGCGCACACGCTTTTGACGGAAGAAGAAAAACGGGGAGGGCAACAAAAGGCAGTTGCGTGGGTCCTGGAAACGGACATCCGTCGGTCGTCCGGAAAAACTGACAAATCAGCTTCAGCAGGTGCAACTTTGTCCAAGGCCAAGATTCCCTCCACTGCATCGGAACACCGGTTGATCACATGATACAAACACAAATCGACAAACGCCGGCTGAAAGACTGTTGCTTTCCACACCGCCAGCGCAGCTCAGCACACACTTTCTTAAATGTTGATTGCATTCACGGCTGGCTTCATTTTCTTACATGTCGGGATGGCGGGCAGGCGTAAGTTTACACTTATCAAACTTTTTTGCAGCAGTTGCATGCGGGGACA